ACACTGGACTGTGGCTAAAGTGTTTTATTAAATTAAGTACGTCATTTGCAAATGGTTTCATAAGAAATTTTAAAAGCAAAGTTATAAAACATTTTCAATAAAAAAGTACAGAGTCAACAGCAAAATTACATTTTCTTTATAGTACAAATAAAAACATTTTGTTTCTGATATATTGTCTGAAAATTTTATAATATATTTTCCAACTGATAGCTGCAATACTGTATTTTAATGAGAAGCCTTACAGTTAATTCAATCATCTGTTAATAACAGGTTCATCATTTGGACCATAAAAGTCAATTGCTCAACTTTTAGGAAAACAACAGTTTGTCATCCTATAATGGTGAAGTTATAAAAGGCTTTTCAGGATGTGGATGTATTCTAGCCTTGTTTTTCTATTAAATTCTGTAAAGAGGCATTAGTACTGTAAACTTGAATTACATTTTAAAAATAAGCACCATTAACATATACATTCTACATAAACTTACTTTTAAATGACATTTTTTTGGGCCACACAAACACTTAAATCTGTTTTCTTTACCATGTAAATAAATATAAGCAATATTTAACCACAACACAGAAAAATCATCAAACTTCACCTCATTGCACAGTGGAAAAGCACTTAGAAAAAGCACTTGGAAAAAAGCAGCACACATTTTGTGTCTTTTTTACACATTTTGTTATTTCCTTAAATTGAGAGCAGTTAAAACATTGTCAGAGCAATTTCCTGAGTTACAAAGTTTCCAATTTTCAGCTCAGAAATAACCAATCTTGCTATTATGTTTCCTTTTTCTAAGTATAAAAACACTTGAATTTAAAAAGAAGATGAAAATAAAAGACTAGAAACAATCCAACAAACTGTTTAGTTTTTCTTCTCAAAGTGTTTTATAAGTCAAGATTTCTACTATATAATATGTCCTGTATTTAAAGGCCATACAATTGCAAATAGTAAGGAAACACTAATAAATTGAAAAAATCTGAACTTGAAAATAATAGAGAGATATATGAACAGCCAATAAATGTAAGACCGCATTCTTCCATGACTCACACTGATAAGGAAGTAGATGGTTGAAAATACTGTTAAGAGTCTCCTCAGTCCAGCCCCACTTCCCCTGTGGTTTCCGCATTTGTTCTTTTTCCCCTGGTGAATACTGGTAAGAGACTACTGAAAGGATACAGTTGTTACTAAAACCATCCAAACTACAGAACTGCTGTACTTGCAATATATTAATATGTTTGCAAAGAGCTATTCTAATGCCTCATGTATAAGCACAAAATATACCAATACATGAAAACTTTGATAATCCCCACTATCATTACTTTTGATACACAGAATTAGAAATGGGCAGAAGAGAAAAAACTGATAATCCTTAAACTATGTTTCCTTTTGGCATACAGAATTTAGAAATGGGCAAAACAAGAAAAGAGCAATTATAAAATTTTCTTCCATAATTCTGTGTTGCTAGATTGCGGTAGAAAGTTTAGGATTAAACAACTTCATAAAAACATGTATGACACTCAAAATTTGCCTATATATTTATGAATGAATGATGATTAAGAAGAAATGCCCTTATCAAAATAAAGCATAAAATTAAAGTGAATACAGTATAAAATATAGATTCTTCATTTGGTTTCTGCCCACAAAATACATCCTCTTATTCTTTTTGACTGCTCCCTCCCACATTAACCATAATTATAGTAATACTGAAATAAGTCTAGCTGCAGTGCTCAAAAGCAATGTTTTTTTTCAATTGGGTGAGGAAATATAAAAACACAGAAAATGAGTATGCAGCTGTACACATTCAAACAATTCCAGTTTTAGCATTATTACATTTCTAATTGTTACATATTAACTTATAGATAGAAATATTACAATTGTAGTTTTATAATATGTTGTCAAAATGAACTGCTTTATTTTTAATGTGTATCACATTCTTCTAGATATCACAAGAAAGTATGCTAAACTGTTGGCATTTTTTTAAACAAATTATTACAAACATAAGCATATGAATACTTCAATGCCAGTCACTAGCTATTTCTAAATAATAAACACATTTTTATTTTTGTGGAAATAAATTCAGTGATACAACTCTTATTTTAAAAGCATGCTTTCATGATATACAAAAACGTGTTTCTGAGTTTTATTTTCATTAGAATGTCTGTCCTTTTGGGAAACCATTCTCTAATTCAGGATTCTCTCAGTAATAGTTCAATCCTGTAATTCTTGATCCAGATGACTTTTTAAGCTTATCAAAAAGCAACATTGTTGTTTGCTAAAACTGTATTTATTGAAAATATTTTCCACATCCAAAGTTTAATTTGTTTAATCTACTGTCTTATACTGGAAAATTATACTTTACTACTGTAAGGTTGGAGGCACTGTAGGGAGGGGTGAGCACGTTGGACACTGATGACGTGCCAAAGTCCCCGGCTGCTGCCCCCTCCCAACCTGAAAAATGCGCCTTAGGCTAGCCAATCCTCAGGCTGCTATAAATCTAAGCTCTGCCTCCCCCTATCTTCTTTAAAAACTCCCCACCTGTCTAGTTGCACACGACTTCACCGGCCTGTAACTAGCCAGACCGGGGAACATCGCTCAGGATTGGGCTCAAATAAACTGCCTGGCCCTTTGTTGCCTCTCGTCGCCTGCTTATTTCGGTTAGAATTAATCTTACAACTACATTAAATTTGTGTAAAGGAAATTATAATGGACATACTAACAGAACTTTTTAGCTCACCAAAAAACAAGTCAATGGAAGTTTCCTTTCAGAAAGTTGGCTTTTTAAAAATAAAGGTAAAAAACTTAAACTGTAAGGATTCCTTTTATAATCACTATCAAAATTGTTTTTTTTAATTAATAGGATTTTTACCTACTGCAGCTTAGAACTTTCATGCCTCAAATATATGAGATAGCTCTTTAGTACTCTCCTAAATATCACTTACACAGATAGTTCTAGAAGCAGTTCCTATGAGACTGTAACACTTAATAGATATCTAACCATTTCCCGTTTGAAAACTTTTCTACCTTTGGAAAGGTATAAAACTGCAATGTAATATCAGACCCCAATACAATCTGAGATCTCTTAGAAAATGCATACATGGAGAACAAAGGAACAAAAGATTAAGAGATCAGGATCATTTACAAAGCAAAAGAAAAGTGCAACAGCCTAGCATGTCTTCCTGTAGGATATGGCAAAATGAAATAAAAAAGTATTCAAGTGTTTTTGTTAGATCTCCTTTGATTCATTACTACTAGGACTACTGCTTCTTTTTTCAGTATAAGCTATTCTAATGCCTCATGTATTAGCACAAAGTATACCAATCCATGACCCAGATCTCAAAGCACTCAAAAGCACCTCTCATAACATTTTTAGGACTTACTAAATGTCAAACAATTAGTACAAGTAACATTTCTCTCTAAGAAAGAATCAGAGTACTTCACACTTTAAAACTGCAGCTAATAATTTTCTTAGACATTTTGTAATCAATAAAAATTCTCAATATTTTTAACAGATAATGTATTTGGCATTTTGATTCAGTAAAAAATTAAACTCTTGAATTTTGTCAAATTCAAAAAATAAAACATCATCATAATGTTTTCCTGTTTTTTAAGTGGACATTTTTAATAAAACACATGTTTACAGTAAAACTAATCGCAAATAAAACTATTATTAACCTACAAATCTTCACACTTCTAAGTCAAGGTTGTTTATTTTATTTTAGCATGACTTTCAAGCACCCTGGTTTAATTTCAGAGAACCTGCAGAAATGAGAAAGAGAGTTATTTTAAAGATAAAAATTTCAAACTCATTAAGGAATATATCTTGTAATCAATTACAAGTGCCTGTGCTAAATATAATAGTTACTATCAAAGCACTCTCCTTTATTACATCAATATCCAAGACCAATATTTATGCTTATGCTCTTTTCTATTGTCAAAACAAATACAATTCTAAGGCTTGGGGCTAGCTACTCCTAACTTACTAGAATTTAAGATTTTTCAAAACTCTCAAGCCTGAATTTGACCTTCATGAAGAAAGTGTTGTATGATGGCTATGGTGATGTCTACATTACATTATTTCTATGCATTATGTCAGCACCAAAAAATCTCTAATATAATAGGTTAATCTGACTCATCAGGCCATGAAATGCTTTCAGCTCCCTCAGGATAGAATTTACACACTAGTCTCTAAAATAGATCATTAATCCCAAAATGATAATGTTCTGGTCTAACTACTCCCTTTGTAAAAGTAATTCTAACATGTCATCTGTTTTCATGCTCAGAATTAATGCTACCATTTTCTATAACATAGCCAAACAACATTTTATTACATGGCATAAACAAAATATGCTATACTAATTGAACTACAAGCAGGAAGGGAAGTACTTAATGTCATGTACATCCTCAGGAAATCTATCCATCAATAGATCTTTATTCTAGGACTTTTCTTGCCATTTTATGTTATTGCATAATAATCTCTTAATGAAAAAGGACATTTCATGTTTGTCAACTGAGATCATTAATAGCATTTAACTTACAAAGATGTATAAATTCATATTAATGGAGTGTTTTCTGCTAAAGTTTAAACATATCCAAATTATAACTATATTTCAGCAGAAGCCCCAATTCCTTCAAAAATCCACAAATATTACCAAAGGAATAATTAAAGAGCAACCTTACACTCTGGAATGTATAATCTAATTATCTTGGATAACACATTATCAAAAAATGCAAATACACTTAATTTTAGATTTTAAATTTATGATAGAAATAGTTTTGTCAGATGATTACTTCAACAACAACCATATTTTTCTTTCATTTTTAGATTACTGGACATCATAAATCCAGCAAGGAATGTTATATCATAATTCAAGCATGAATTTAGGGCTAAAATCACATGGTTAAATTTACTTAACCATTTTAAGAAGTCATTCTGAGTATACTATTAATTTTACTATCTGTGTACAGGCTATTGCCATTATCAACAACAGAAATCTTTACTCACCTGAAGCTATGGCTTGTGAGGTATTTAATGACAGCTGGTTTGATTCTAGCAACTCCCCCCTGGCTGTGGTTTCCTCTCCCCGTAATCACAGAGAGATAGGGCTTACCACCACACTGCTTAAATTCTGTTATGATAGGAATTGGAACAGTTACAATTCATTTATCTTATATTCTCAATAGAAAACAAACTTCAATTATTCAAACATATATGAAATATTTGCATGGAGATTTAGAGATTTATTATTTCAAAAAGCCCTAGAATTAATGTTTTTGATGTATGTAAGTATGCAGGCATCATAACAAGTCACCCACCTAAAGATTTAAGTAGGATTTCTTCCCCTATGGGGAAAGGAGATTTCCATGTGCTACCAGAATTTTTCTCTGAAATAATGACAAAAGTAATATTAATGATACCTAACAATTATTACACACATGGCATCAGGCTTTACTTTTAAGTAACATTTATTAACTAAGAATCTTCACAACCCTTTTAATTAATAGCTCTTCTACTAATTGACTACATGATAGGACCATGGACAAGTTACTTAGCCTATCTCCGTTTCCTTGTCAGTAAAATGGGATATAAATCAACTACTTTACAGAATATCACCCTCAGGAATAGCTATTAGCAAAACCACTAATTATATCATGGACTGGGTCATACTGTTAATCAATTGTTAATTTAAGGAACTCTTCCAAATAGATGATTTTTAAATATTGAATGACCCTGAGCCTCCTAAAAGACTGCAGCTCTTGCTTTGGATATGACCTTGTGAGAGTCAAAATATCTGGAATAAAATGACCCAAGAAATTGTTAATAGTTAAGAATTTATTTAATGAATTTAATAAATACTTGTTCCTCATTTATAAATAGCACAAGTTTTGATCTTTAGCATAAAATACATATACACATAATAAAAAATTCCATATTCTACTCATAAAGTTACCCTAAGACTCTAGCATATACACAAATAGATGGTTTTTCAAGTCTAGTATCTCTAGGGCAATATCTAGCTTGGAATTTTTAGAGGATATGATGCTGTTGCATTTGTAATTCCTTTTTGCTTAAGATCTCCATTTCTATTCTAGTACATATCCATTATTTCAAGCACTATTTTGTTTAAACTTCAACTATTCTGGGCACTGGCTAAACAAGGGTATTCACTTTGTAAAAGATTTTATACTATATTATACAATCATTATTTGTGCATTGTTTCTTTATGGATGTGATGTCACAAAGCTTACTTAGAAAAAGACAAATGTCTTAACTAACCATAATTCACTCTCATCATTCATTCACTATTGCTTCCCTTACCAATTAGATCATTTATACCATCTCACCTTTCAATTGTTCACTTACTCTGAAGATGTTCTCTAGTTGAATCACACGCCTCAAATAAAGTAGGTATTCAAAAGATGTTTGCTGATGAATTAATGTATATGTTTAGGTTCTCAAATTTCAGGCTATTACTGTTTACGACCTTTAGAAAATCTCTTTAACTCATTTTTAAGCATAACCCAATTTCTTATCATGTCAACTGTAAATTTTCAAAATGTATCTCAAAAAGCTCTTTTAAAAAATCTAACAATGTCACCCTCATATCTTACAAAATTAAAAGCAGTTTCTTAATTTCTGAATGTAGATAAAAAATTTTCCCAACAGTCTCAAGAAAAACAATTTTATAGTGATTTGTTTGAAACAGAGTTGAAATAAGTCCACACATTATATTTGGTTGATATATTTCTTAAACAACTTTTAATGTCAAGATTCTCTCTCTCCTTGTGTTTTTCTTTAAAATTTATTGAAAAACTGGATCATTTATCCTAGGTTTTCACTGTCTGAATGTTGCTGATTGTATTCCCATGGTGCCATTTAACATGTTCCTCTGTTCCCTGTAAATCCCTATAATGTAGTCATCAGATCTAAAGGCTTTTCTTTTTAGATCTAGTTTATTTGGGAGCAAAAAAAAACTTCATAGGTGCTGTTGGTATGTATTTCAATCAGAAGGCACATAAGATTTTTTTTTTAATTCATCCCCAATTTTGAAAATTATCTTTTATGACTAAAAGTAATTCAGGGCTGAGCCACAGTTTCCCTTGGACACATTTCTATTCAACAATACTACCATCTGGTGGTAACTGACAGTAACTACAGATGTGGAACATCAACTGGAACATGCGATGTTTAACCGGATTCTGGATTGAGAATGGGCAGGGGGGTGGGTAGGGTAGCAGAGTGGGTAGCACAGCTATACGTGACATTTCCATACAACTGGAGAAATCTGAATATGGTCTGTATATTAGGCAATAATGTTGTAACAATGTTAAATGTCTTAAAAATGATAATGGTATTGTGATTACATAGGAAAATTAATTTTTTGTCAAGAGATAAACATGACAAAATATTTAAAGGTGAAGCACAAAATGTTTAACAACTAATGTTCAAATGGTTCAGGAAAAGAAATTTTAGAGAGATTAAGCAAATGTGGCCAAATGTTAACAACTGAACAATCTAGGCAAAGGATATATGGATCTTTATTATATAATTCTTTCAACTTCTCTGTAGGTTTAAAATTTTTTCAATATAAAATGCTAGGAAAAAAGATACTGTGATAGGAGTTCACATGGTGATATGCAAAATAAAGTTCACTGCAACATTGCAACTAAATGTCCATCAACAGAGGAATGGATACAGAATGATACATTAACAGAATACTATGCAGCAGTTACAATAAAGATAAGGAGATCTTATGAACTGTATTGAATGAAAATAAACACTTGGCTGATGACATAATATGACACTACATATGTTCATTTTTTAAAACTCACAAAGGGAATATTATAGGCTGATTATGGATGAATGTACACACAGTAAAGGTATTTTTAAAACTGGATAGGAAGAATGTAGACCAAAACTGAAGTATGTTTATTTACATTAGAAAGGAGGCAAGAAATAGAAAAGGACTGAGAAGAATACAAAGGGAGGGGGGGAAAAAAGGAAGCATACATGGTAAAATGTTACCACTTGTTACTTGGAGTCATGTGTACAGTAGATGTTTACTATATTACTCTGTGACCTTTCAACATGGTTTTCATGATAAGTGAATTTTCAACCTTTTATATCAATCACATTTAATCAAGTATTTAACTGCAAGTGATATGTGTTGAATTGATAAATGTGTATACAGTATAAAGCTTTAAAAATGTATACAAATCAATGAACTAGTACAATACAGCTATCAAAGACAGGGCAGGGCTATGGAGATATGAAGTAATAGCTGAGTCATGACCCTCCATATTTCCACAAAAAAATGGAAAGTGAAGTTCAAAACTCAAAAATATTCTAATAGGGGTGAAAGGAGAAGATATCTAGTAGTAGAGTCTGGGGTAACTAAAATAGTTTGAATTTTTCTAAGTGTTACCATCTGGTGATGAAAAGGAAACTACATACTCAATCAAAAAGCTACGTTAATATATGGGAAGTACATGATATTGAATGGAAGCATGAAAAAGATTCTTATCCAAAGCTCTGGGAAGAAGTAGAACTTAGAAAAGATCTTATTGATCTGCAAAGAAAAATACAAGCAGAAAGGGAGAAGGGTGCACCACCATAATGCAAAGACTCAAAAATCCTATCTTTTGTAATAATTCTGTAGAAATCCTATCACCTTATTTACTTTAACTGACACTTAATAAATATCTATCAACTTTAATAAATGTCTATTGAACAAATATGTGCAATATTCCCAAAAGTTACCATCTATAAGTCACAGATGATACTCAGGTTACACCATGTCCTCCCTTTAATAAATATAAATATAACTGAATACAAATATAACTGAAACAGGGAAATATAAAAGAAAATGTAATGGCCATGCCAGTGAAACCAAGAAGGTTCTCTTGAAGAATGAACCCAGCACAAACATGTATAAATGAACAGATACCCTCAGCCTGCACATTCTAACTCTCCAGAATTTTTACATTTTACCAATATAAGCAAAGACATAATTTCAATCGAAAATCTGTCATCACCACAATCCTACCTTCAGTTTTCTGCTGTAAAACTGTCATCAAATGTTCTATAGCTTCATCCACATGCAGCCCATGAAGATCTAAAACATTCTGTGGCAAAAGGGAGGCATTGACTTTCTCAAAGATCTCCACAGCAGCAAGGTGATTGGCTTCTTTCATCTTCTGCTCATGGAGACTACCCTTTAATTATAAACATCACCAGGAAACACTATGTTACTCAATAGGCAATGAGGAAACAGTGCCCCAAATAAAAGACAGAAAAAAGGGAACAAATCTAAAATTTTAAATAAAGCAATGGGCTAATATACAAGAATGAACCAAAATTTAGATGAATTTCAGTGGATTAATAATGTCTCTCTTAAACTAATTCATCTTCCTAACATATTTCTTGATCCAAAAGTCATAGAAGAGGGAAATGTAAATAAACACTACCCACCCAACTCAAGAAGGAATCCACTGGTTTATCCTTTGATAATCTTGGGTCTCACCCCTTTCAACACCTTGTATACCTCAGAAGCCATCACCCAAGGTTTGCTATTAGGGCTTACAGAGATACACCAGTATCTTTCTCTGCTCAACCACGAAAATGTTGGCCATATGGAACCACAAAAATAAAGATTAATCAGGCAGGGATCTTATAATACCATGTCAAATGAGACCAGGTAGAAAATTTTACCTCCTCAAAAGATACAATTCTAACTTTGTTTTTCTGACTATAAAAGTTATACATTAGGGGGAATCACAGGAAGATGGCAGTGTGAGTAGTTCAGAGGAAATCTCCTCCCCAAAACATACGTATTTATGAAAATACAATAAATACAACTGTTCCTAAAAGAGACACCAGTGGATGCATTACAACAGCCAGGATACATCTACATCTGTGAGAACTCAACATCACACAAAGGGGGTAAGATACAAGCGGCGGCCAGGTGAGACCTGAATGCTCCCCAACCCCAAAACCCGGTGGGAAGAAAGGAGTTGGAACGAGGAGGGAGTGAAAGCCCAGGACTGCTAAACAACCAGCTCTAGAAATCTGCACCTAGAACACAGACACAAGGTGCACGGGGTGCTGGATATTAGAGAAACGGAAAAGCAAAACCTGAGGGCAGGTCCCCGCAACCGGCGCCCTTGAGACAGAAGAAAAGCGAGTGCTTTCTACAAGTCTTAAAGAGATAGGGACCCCAGAGCTGGACGAAGTTGTCCCGGCAGCTGGGAATACTGGGTAAACTTAGGCGCCTTAAACCCTGGGGAGGCAGTTCAGCTCTGAAGCCCCTCACGGCACTAAGCAGCCTGCCAGTCGTTCCTCCAGTTGGCGCGGACCCCGACACACCGGC